CCAGCCAGCCCCTGTTCTGATCCTGTCCCTGCCACGCGCCCACGAGCGTGCGATAATTATGTTGCCATGCATTTGCGGCACGTGGCGGGCCAGGGCAGGGCCAGGGCTCTACAAGTATCCATATCCACACCGACTTCCGCTTGCATAATTGCCACAAATATTTACCCCATATCACGGGCTGCATCGCGGCTAAATATGTTTTTCGCCCGCTGAAGTGCCACTCAAGTGAAGCACGCACCGTGAGAGTGAAGTTTGGATGGATGGATGGATGGACGGCATAGGCCCCGGTTTCAGGTGAGTACGAAGCGTAATTGAGACCTTTTTAGTCCTCCCCGTTGTTATTTGTTAATTGCATTAATGTGCGTAATTTATAAGTAAGTGGGTGGCTGGGCGAGGGGCGGTCCCTTTGCTAGGGCCGTGTGAAAACTTTGCCTCCTCTCTGGGCCTGGGATATTTATGCGGCGAGGCCAAACATTTGGCCAAGCAATAATGCTGCAAAGTGCCAAACGGAGACTCGTAAATTGTACCTCCTTCCAGTCTCCAGCATCCAGCCTCCAGCCACCACCAACAATGGGATGGCCCAAACCAAACCCTGGCACAAGTTTCAGGCTAAGGACCCATTCCAGTCCACACCCCCCTAATAGCAGCAGACGAAGCCGCATTGGCCCCCGGGGAGCACACAATTTCAATAAATATTTCACTACATTAGCTCGATGTCAGGCTCTGAGGTACTAGGGGGGGGCGGCCAAATCCTGGGCAGCGCGTTACGTCAAATTGCTTTTTGTTGGTTCGGCAATAACGTGCATTAAATGTTTTGGCCATTATCATTTTTGGCCAACATCATCGCCATTAGGGCTGCTCACTTCTAAGCCAGAGTGGGGAATTGAGACTAAGTCTGGGAATGGGAGTGCAGCTTGGGGCTGCTTCCCCACAGACTTCCATTGAGCTACTACAAATCGAAAGCGATTCCTATGACAATGCCAGGAGGCTGCCAGACAACTGCAATTGTTGCACTCTCTCTCTGCTTGGGGCATGCATAAGAAAGACGCACTGCGGATAGTTCCCTTCGGGCCAACAAAGAAACACCTTGATTGCTTCAGCACCAGCTCTAGCTGCTGGCTGCTGGCTGCTAACTAACAGGCGCTGCTGCTGCAGAAATGGCTGAACGGAACTGAACTGAAACGGGCCGGTCTGAATGCTTGTCGAGAGCTTTCTTTCATTTACTGACAATAAATTTTCATTTTCTTGGTAAATCGTTCCGTTCTTTGTTGCTGCTGCTGCTGCTGCAGTTGCTCCTTTCTGGCGTCGATTGCCTCTGTCTGCCACACATATGCCCGCATTTTTGCACCACAACAATTTGGTTGGCACAGCTCATTGTCTTCCGCCTCAGCCAGTGTCTGGGCCAGGGCATGGCATGGCATGGCTATGGCTCCAGCAGCATTGCAATTGCTCACAAGTTATCCCAAGTGGAAATTTTCCAGCTTTGCCTGCCACTGCCTGCCTGTTGTGGCTGGGTGTCGTTATTCAGGGCTGGCAAATCGCAATAAAACAAAAGTGATTGTCAAGTGAATGCGTTTGTGCTCCCACATCACTTATCCCCCCTCTCCCACACGGAGTTGTATGTATGTGGCTGATATTATCCGCCATAATATGCAATTCATCATGTGCGCTCTCCTGTGTGATTCGGAATGATTAAAAATGTTATTCAAATGCACTTGATTGATGGATGCGAGTGATCATAATCGCTGTATGGCATGGGAGACTACTGATTCGTCCAGGAAAGAGAGGGACTAAGAAATTAAAATGTGCAGCAATCCTACGAGGCGGCGACCTACATAAATGTTATATGCTGACTTATGAAAAAAGTCTAAAAAGGGTTAAAAGGGTTTGTTAAAGATACATATATTTAAATTTTTAATTTTTCGTCAATTCTTAATTAATTAATTGCTTAAAATTAAATTAAATCCTTATTGATGATATTTCAAATTTTAATTGTCTCAACTTAGTATTTAGAGTGGAAAAAGGGGTCAAAGTGCGTCCGGCACTGGTTAACACAATTTTTTCTTAACTGGTAGTCGGAACTGACTTTGTCACGCTTTGTTTTTAAATGCTTAATAAACATAATTTCGGTTAAGCAATTTTTTCCGCCACAAAAGCCACACCACACGCAACATTTTGGTCAAAGAGCCAAAGCCAACTTGGACAGCAGCACGCACGCACGCACTCACACGCATACGCATCCGCACAGGCAGACAGGCAGTTAATTAAGGGTGTGAACTGGTTGAGTTATGCGTGGACAGGACAGGACTGGACTGGACTCCTCCACAATGCCACTTCACTCCGCTACATGTACATCCCCACACACGGCTGCCTTCCCTGCCTTACCACCGGGCCCTTCCGGATAGCCAATGCCTGTCAAGGCATCAGCATAAAGGACAGCCAAATGGCCAGTAAATAATTCATTAGCGGCTTTTAACAATAAATTTTTGTTGGCTGGACTAAACGACCTTTCCCGACTAGAGACTAGCACCGCCTCTACACTGCGGGAAAACTAGAGCTAGGAGAATATTTCCAAATTTAGTTTACACAAAAATTCTATTCTGAAAGATAGAAAAATATAATATATTATAATAATAATATATATTTAATATTTAATATATTTAATAATTAATAATAATAATGTAATAAATTTTAATTACTATAAAATTTTATCACAATTTCAGGAGTAGATTCTTCTTTGTTTTCCTCAGTGTAGAAGCCTTTCTTTGACTTTTGTGGTCGCTCTTTTTTTTAGTCGGGCACTTATTTTAATGAAGTGGCGCATTCGCTGGTGGCGGCAACTAATTAGCTGTGCCGGCTTGAACTTTGAACTGCTGGCTTCATTAGAGAAAGAATTTGACGGTTTTGTCTTTTTCCGCATTACTCCGATAAGACAACGATAAGACAGAGAGTGAGTGAGAGAGAGAGAGGGAGTAGCCACCTGCGCATTACAACAACATTGTTGTTTACTTTTTTGGAGAATTTCGCAGTGGCCTGCAAATTAAAATGAAATAATTCTTCATCAAAGTCCCCTCTGCCCCTCGCGGCAGGCACACGTGAACGGGGCTGAGGAGCCCACAGGCAGGAAATGTGCTATAATTGAAAAATGTGGTAACAAGACGCTTCGCCTCCTTAGCTGTGTGGCACCGTGTCGCTCCTAATGAATGCCTCACTTTTTTTCGTGTATTTTTTTCGCGTTTCTCGTTTTGTTTTTTTTTTTTGCATAACACGCGAGGACTGTGTGGCATGTTCTGGTAGGGTGATAAATGCTCATCAGGCCTTAAGGCTGCGCTGGCAATTAACTTTTACAATGTTGTTGAAACGTAATCAAGTTGTCAGCGCCAAAGAGCCAGTGGCTCAGCGTAGCAGTCGCTGACTTGGCTCGCATATTATACTCCTAATTACTGCAAAAGTTTTCTCAGCCAGCGCGAATTCCCCAGGCCGGGGACGCAGCCACCAACTGTCAGATGAGGAGCAAGTGGCTCTGCTGAGGCTGCTGCGAGGGCGTCGCGACTGATCCACTCTCATTGGCTAATCCTCTGGGATCCATTCGACTAATGCCCTGCTAGAGTTCCCCCGCCTTTGGCTCGATTCAAATGTCTCTCAGTTGTCATAACAAACTCTGAGGGGGTGGGCTTCCCTCAAGTTCCCTCAAGTATTCCCCCACCCGTCTCTCAATTTTTTGCCTGACGGAGATGGAAAGCATTAGCCGGCGGTGTGTCCCCCCCAAAGTCTTAAGTTACGATGCCAGTCAGCTCCAAGAATTGACAATAAGCGGCATAAATTTTAAAATTTCATTTTTATCGCATTGCAATTTTCTTTTTCTTTTCTTTTGCCTTTTACGTTTGTCCCTTCCCCCGCTTGGGTGTGTTTGTATGTTTTAAGCCACATTTAAGATACTTGGCTGGCATTATTGACTTTCGAGTTGATAAAGTGCCATAAATGTCACCCCATTAACAGAGGAGGCAGCCAACAACCAACAACCAACAACAACGTGGCAAAGGTAAAGCCAAAGGCAAAGGTAAAAATACGCGATGGGTTCTTTACGCTCTGGGGGTTGCAGATATACTTATAAATATATATGTATGTATGTGCGAGTATCTACTTAAAAAGTGACAGCGTCAGTGAAGGGGAGAGAAATAAATGTGTGTGTTGTGCTTTAGCTCCTGTGGCTGCTGCTACTGCTTGCCAGGATAATGCGCCTCAACTCAATTGGGAATTTCGAAAGTAAAGTTGAATTTCATGTTCGGCTGCGGCAATTGTCACAGATGGTTTAATTGAAGTAATTACATACGAAATCCGTCAGGATTTTCGCCCTCTTCAAGCTGCCTCTCACCTCACTGCCCCCCTGCCCCCTGCCACTGTCTCTGATGACACTTTTCGTTTATTATTTTATTATACTCGCATTATTATATACTAAGCAGCAGCAGCAGCATCATAATCCACCCATTTTGGGGTTTGGCGGAAAAAGGGTTAATTGAGTTGTTGCCTTTTGTTTTATCTGCCTTTTCCGCCGTTTGCCTTCTCGACTCCTCGACTCCACGACTCTCCTAATGAGCTAATGACAACTGCGTGTAATTGTCAGGCAGGAACAGCCCAAAGGACAGCCATAAGGGACGCACGTATTTATTGCCGCAATTTTATGTGGTTTTCGGTTATATTTTATGTTGATTTCTATGAATTTTAAAAGGGTTTTTTTGAGAGTTTAAAATCCAGTTGAACCGGTTAGTCAGAGGCAGATGCAGATGTGTCATCCAGCTTTATACACTTCACAAAATGGTTCTGGTTAAGTCAGAATGTCATCTTCAAGGTTACCCAAATAAAGATTGAACTGAACATTAAATATATTTTTGGCTTAGCAAACAGATATTTACTTGCATATATCGTTCATCAATAAACTGAAGGAACATCTGGATAAATAGTCTGGATTTCCACCGCCTATATAAAGGTGTACCACAGCCACAGCCAGAGACAGTTGTCATACTTTATTACCAAAGATGCAAAGGTCGTTCGTTCTGGTTGCATCAGTGCTGTGCGTGGTACAGGCCACCATTATTATTCAGCCCAAGCCACAGCCAGTGGAGCCTTGCAGCACGTGCAATCTCTACCAAAGAGAATACACCTGGGCGCTGGTGGACTGCACTTGCAAAATATACCAGAACGCATGCCTCTTGAACGAGGAGGCAGCACAAAGGGCGAAGGAAGGAAAAACGCGTAAGTTCGATTGGATATCCTGCATCAGTGCCAGAAATAACCCTATCAATATCGATCGATAGCTCCTGTCATTGTTCCGGAGAAGATATGCAGATGTTTCATTCCCAAGAAATGCCTAATTGGATTTCCTGTGGTGGCCAAATTCCCGCAACCAGCTCCATGCGGCTGCAATGGCAAGCCCGGCAGCCTCGTCACCCAAAAGTTCAAGAGTCTCTGTGCGCTGAATAAATACTCCGCTGAAAATTCAAAGCGTAAGTTAAAATATACTTATTCTAGTTACTTTTCTGTACAATATGTATGATCACTTTACAGCATACATCAGCTACACTTTTGGAATCTGCTAGAAACTTCGTAGCCCAGGGGAAGCAGAAACTGCCAGGCGACATGGATGAATCTTATACTGTTTTGTTATCTCATTCTACCTAATCAAAAACCCTATGACTAACTTTGTTATTACTACAATATATGTACATGCACTGCACTTTAAATTCGACTCTTTCATTTGCCCGAATACTTCGTAAAATTTTTGCTCTGACTACATTTACGTGACTTTGAAATTGCACTTATCGCTCGCATAATTAAAATGCCTAAAATTGTACTTGCAATTTTTTTTTTTTGAGCTTTCGCAAGCTTCGAAAATAGTCAAGACAGTTTCTGGGCTAATCGGTTAATCAAGGGTAGTAAAATCATGTTGTCGGGTCGCCTGCAGTTTTCAGTGTACGTTCTGCAAACATTTTAATTTTCATTGTTGACTGACTTAAACATTATATACACAACACACACGAGCATATACCACATCTGGAACAACAATGAATTTCGCTTAATATAAAAAGTCATCGTAAGAAGAAAGTTCCCAATCTTAATCAGTTCCAGTCATTGTCCTTGGGTTTGTTCCATAAAATGTTTTGAATTAAAGAATTGTTTCATGTATTAGCAATTTTTTAATTTAAGTCTGGGTATCACATTTAAAAGGTTTAAATGCCCGAGGGGCTAACTATAAATATCATGTAAAATAAGAGAATTCTGGTAAATATTTACATATAAATTAATCATCAATACCCGAAAGGCCCCAAGCAACCAACTGCTCAAATAAAAATATTGCCCCCATGTTGTCGCCTATATAAAGAGCCAGCAAGAAGGGGCATAGTCAACAGTTGCCGTTTCCACTGACGATCATCATGTTCCATCCTAAGCTATTCGTCCTGATTGCCATGGCCATCTGCCTGACCCAGGCCTGCGCTCCCAGCGAGCCCGAGGAGCCCGTCAATTGCGGATGTGGAAAGCCACCGTGCAGATCCTGCCGCTGCGTCAAGACCTGTGGATGTGGTAGCAGACCGTGCCAGGGTCCCTGCTGCTCCTGTGGTTGCTCCAAGTAATCGAGTCTACAGTCTACAGTCCTGGAAGTGAGACCCTCCCAACGGTATTCCTGTTGTTGTCAAATGTTTTGTTTTCCCCGTTATTAAAGTGTTGCAACCTCTTGGAACTTTCATCTTTGATTCCGGCTGTCTCCCGTACTTTGTGCGCTCAATTGTGAAGCGTGTGGAAGGGAGCGCTTGAATGAGCAGACAATCATTTTCATTGCATTGATCACTTTTTTATTCATATCCGTTCACTCGTTGGCAAAGTAATTTCTTTGTTCTTTGCCAGCCATGCTCCTTGATTTCCCCGCTCCCGTCGATGCCCCTCAGAAAACTGCGAAACAAAAGAAAAAGTAATCATATCCGGATCCCGGACTACTGCTGCACCCGTCCCACCGCCTTCCCCCGCTCATTTGGCGCCACCTTCGTGTACTTTGCACTTTTCTACGTGAATTGGTTTTTTTTTGTTGCTGCTCTTGTTTCTGTTTAAGCTCTGTTTGGGACTGGTATTTGCTTGGCTTTGGCAGGCACCTCTAGGCCTCGGCAGGCCCATCCTTTTAACCGCAGGACATGGGTCGCATCTCCTCCTAATAACCCTAAAAGCCTTATCGAGTCATTTAGTATGAAAACAAGCAATTAAAATGATGAATATGCAATAAATGTGGATTGTATATGCAAACACACACAGTCGCCGTCGCGTCGCGTCGCGTCGCTCATTCTGGCTCTCGAATAAAGGACAATTCCTTTCGCCCCGTCCACCTTTTCCACCCGTCAATACATTTTATATGCTAATGAGCGGCACACATCTACGGGCACATCTACCAACAGAAAAACCAAACAAACCAACCGAAATGTTCAAAAAATTCGGGTAAAAATAAAGGAAAAAGACCGAAACATACATTTGCCTAATGAAAATAGCGCCATTAAAATGAGAAAAACAACTTTAGATACCGAAATTCGAAACACGGCGAGTTTTGGCAATTAAAAGGATACGAATGATACAAGGTCCTCCTCTCTCAACTGTCCTGCTGCGTCAGCCCATGAATATGTACGAGCGTTGTGGAGTGGTAGAGTGGAGAACTCCCTGCAGAGGGGCAGGGGCTATGCTATACCAAGGCCCGTACACTATGGCAATGATCGTCAAGCAAATTAGAGATTAACACGCATGTGTCGTCCTTTCTTGTGCACGAGTATGTGTGTCTGTGTGTGTGAGAGTCCTTTTGAAACACGGCTGGTTCATTGACCGACCGGTGGCTGGCAATAAAAGTAAATGACTTCGAAAACTTTTGACGGAGTGCCAAACGGGCGGCTAACGAATTAGAGCAATTTGAAGAGAGACTATAAAAACGCCAGGAAAACCGCAGAAATATGTTGAAAATTTTTGGAAAATTTTCATGGCGCGTGCCCGAGGAAACACTCAGGTAAATGGGGCACACGGGGGTGGCCGTTGCCTTTGTCGTTGTCTGACGTACCGATCCGAACTGTGTGTTTAATAAGCTATGACGAGCGGAGCGAACGAGCGCATTGGAAGTGCAGGGAGGATCCATATCAGTGGAAAATTAAATGCATTTTGAGGAGCAGACAATCAAGGAGGATAACATGTGGAGGAGGGGATGACACACCCAGGCCCAGGCGCAGGCCTGTTCAACTACATCTTCGTGGGCAAACATATTAATTAAGCTGCCCCACAAGCCTATACCGGCCTATGCGCCTGTCAGTTGTCCGATGCGACGGGTCAACTCGGGTCAGGTCAACAACTTAATTATATTGCCCCGACACTGGCCCCGGCACTGGCCCCGTTGCTCGAGTGCACTCCGAGTGCTTCAATTATAATTATGCGTGCATCCATACATCCTCGTGTTTGTGTGTTTGCTTGCATTTCCAAGTCGAATTTATTATTATTTGTATCTCGAATTGTTTGACTGCCACGGCCCCGCCCAGCTCTAATTTGATAATTGCAATTGCGTGTGCAGTCAGCGGCTCGTTAGCCAATGTCGTTTCAGGACAGGACAGGAGAGGACAACGGAGGCTGATGGGTTAATTGGCCTTTAATTTGTTGCAAATTTGTGGGCATTGCCGGCAGCTTTCGTGTGCACAATATGTATGTGTGTATATTGGCCGCTATGAATAGATATTGGCCTCTAATAGTGTCAACATTGTGTTAAATCTACATTTACAACTGTCTGCATGCTGGCCCGGCCGCTCAATAATATATTGTAATTAAACCCATCCGCGGTGTCCCTTTAAATTATCTGCATTAATTTTTAGTTGTGGCCATGGAAGCCAGAAATTAGATACAATCCCAGTCCGGATAAAAACAGTATTTTTCGAATTGGCAAGCCAAATAAAATGGTTGAGTGACAATTGGTTAAATGAAATTGATTGATGAGACAGTCGGAATGTATCTAAACTTTGACAGATTGCGGGCAGAAGGTTGTGTTGTGGTTGGGCAGCCGCATAAACCCCACACCCAGATAGGGATCATCATCATTTAGAGTGAGTGGCACGAGTCAAACAAATATTGCGACAGAAAAGGGGTGCGGCCCAAACGAGAGACAGATACTCGAACAAATGTAAATGCTCGGAAATTGCCTGTGCTGTGCGTGCAGCTTATTGACATTAATGTAACAATTGTCAAAGGATTTATTAATAGCTCAGAGGGGATGGGCTGCTCATGGTAGGGTGCGACTCGGCTGGGCTGGTGCTGCTGGTCCTGCTTTTGCCATCAATCATTTGATTGATATTAATGAGCTGAAATTTGCATTAATTCAACGATGATCACATGTTTAGCGGCTCCGAGAGTGGAGTTTTGTGTCGTTTGAGTGCTCTGCTTTAGAGATTTGCCAAATGATTGCATAAATTTCAGGCATAATTAAGTTTGTGTCGTACGACCTTCCATTAACAATGCAGATATATACATATACCTAATAATATATGTAGATAGTGGCATTGAAGAGAAAATTAAATTCAAAATATATTTTGCACACATTTTTTGGACTGCCGCCAGCTTGTGTGCCAATAAATTATTTCGAATTTTCCACACACAAACAAAAAAAAAAAAAAAAAAGAACCATCCTATCCCTCGAATATTGAACAGAAAAGAAAAAAACTCAAATGTAACAAGAAGATCAACAATAAAGCCACAAGAATACAAATTACCAGGCCACAAAATGGCAGACAGCCGCCCCCCCTACACACACAGATACTCATTCCGACGCACACTTACCCAGCCATATAAATGCACAGTTTGTGATGCATATAAAAAACGGAAAGCAAATTTGAATTTTTAAATTAGTTTTGTTAACTTTTGCCGGCGCTTGTTGTTGTTGCTGGTGTTGTTGTTGTTGTTGTGGAGTTACTCCGGTCCTGGCTGGGAAATGTTTAACGACTCGTAAGGAAATTGCAAAGTAAAATGTCTTCAGGAATTTCCACATTTCCACAACGGCAGGACATGGGAGGGGTTTTTGGGGGCCGACAGAGCAAACGTAATAAAAAGCAAAAGGAAACCACCAACAACTACAGCATACAAAGGCAAAGAAAGCCACAAGATGGCGTTGAGTGGGTGGATGACAAGGATGCGCCGTTGGGTGGGTGGTTACTTGGCTGGTTGGGCTGGTTGGGCTGACTGGGCTGACTGGGCTGACTGGCTGCTGAAAATGGCGAATTAAATTTGAAATTGCGGTCGGTTGTTAGACGAAAGAGAGCGGCATACGGGCCACAGTGTGCAGGAGTGAAAGAGAGACGAGAGAATGTCACAGCAAGTTGAGGTAAAAAGTTGCGTCTGGCATTGCTTTTGTTGTTTAAAATATGGAAAAATGTCTTCTCGGCTTGGATAATGTGAGAGGCAAGGTAAGGTATGCAAGGACTGCTTATGCATACCAAATGTGTGTGTCCTGTCCCCTCCCCAGCTCCAACTCCAGCCTAGGGATAGGGACAGGGACAGGGACAGCATATGAAGCGGCAGCAAGTTTATTTGTTTTGTCAGTCGTTGCACGCAGCTTGGAGACCTCATTCATGCCCGCCACCGCCAGTTGATGGCTTGGAAAATAAGCTCAGAGTCCTCCCCGATTCTTCTGTCCCTTTTTTTTTTTTTTGTTTGCTCTTCCAGCTCATTTGAAATGCAAAGCAGCACTTTGGAAAAAAATTAAAATTATATTAAATTTGTGCCACATTTGATCAATATCAGATAATCATTTACACCCACCTGTCATCCGATAGAGAGAGAGGGCTCCAATGGGAGTTAATGCAATGCAAGCTTAGGGCTATAGTTGCTATGTATCGCTCCCAGATCCCTGACTGCAATTTCCATTCGAATTCCCCTGCTCCTCAGAGTCCTCATTCGATGTCTCCTTGCGATCGGAAGATGCCGATTACAAACTCAACAGTGAGGATCTCAACATCGATGAGTCCTCATTGCGGATCATCTGTCAATTTTCCAGCGCATTGGACCTGGTACTGCCTGGCCAAAGTAAAATCTTAGTCGGACTAATAAAGTGACAAAACTTAACAGTAAATTCTGGCCAATGAACAAAAAAAAAGGACACAAGACTCAAACAAACACACACACACACATTCATGAGAGCAGCACAAAGCCAGTGAAGACTGTGAAATTTATTTTGCCAAGTAAAATTACTTGTCGCTTCCGGGACAAAGAGCCTGACGATGCATGGGCATGGGGGCAACTACGCTTACGAGATGCAGAGACTAAATATTTCTGTGTGTGTATGTGTGAGAGAGAACTGCAGCTGTGTGTGGGTGTTGTGTGTACACAAATTAGACAAACAACGACAAAAGCTGTGGCACACTCAAAGTGAACGCCATGTCACGAAAAATATTTAAATTAGCATTAACATCTTTCGTTTGTATGTTGTATCCTGTATCCTGTACTCTGTACCCTGTACCCTGTACCCTGTACGCTGCTGTATTTTGCCTTTGGTGCAAAATGTTGCAATCAAAAATTGGCTTCCCCTCCGCAGAGGGTGGCAGCCAAAAGATGAAAGGCGCCGGACTAGACTGGAAAAGGAAGCAAAACTTTTGATGCTGTTTGCTGCTTTTCACATTTCCCTGTCACCATCGCTCTAGACGGCGTGTGTTCCTTTCCATTTAAAGTTTTTTTTTTTTATATGTTTTTTTGTTTGTTTTGTTTTTCTGCGCTGCTTTGATTTTAAGTATGGGTCGAGGACATTGCTGGCATCAGCATCCCTACCCTACCCTACCCCACATTGCTGTTGCTCCCTTTTTTGTCAGTCAATTTCGCCGGATTCCAGTTGATAAAAACTGTGATTGGTTCTCGGTTTTTTGGTCAGAGAGAAATGTTCATACTTATGATTTGATTTTGGCTGCTGACAGACAGCTATCCAATTCTTGCACACAAAACTTTTTAATCACGACGCAGTAGGTGCCCTTGCTTTGCATACCAATGTGTAAGGTTAAAACTAATTAAATGTGCCGTGCCGCCAAGTAGGCAACATTTTGTTGCTGTTGCTGCTGCTACTGCTCTTGGATTTTGTTTTTCCATTTCCATTTCGCTGTGGCACAGATTCAGATTGGGGCGACGGCTTGACAAATGAATGTGGGTGTCAAAGTGCTTTGATAACTTGGTAGCAATGGCGGCTCAAAACAAATGGCGCCATCAATTTGAGGTGTGGCCTGGCTGCCCCGTCCGGACGGGGGAAACAAGGAAATGTACAAACTAATTTTCATGCTCGGCACGCGCACAAAATACACGGAAAATCATTCCGAGGGTGGAGAGGTGGTTGGTTGATTCAGTTGGTTGGCTAGCTGGCTGACTGGCTGGCTGGCATATTAGAGTAATTAAATGGCAAACGCAAACTTAATTGGAATGGCCATTGGCCATGTCTCGTCTGTTGGCTGCCTGTCCGAGTCTTCGAGCTGGTAATAAAATAAAAAAACTCGCCATAAAACTTAACTTGAGCGGCGAGGCGACCATTTTCCAAGCATTACTTCTTCGCAGTGCGTGTGCCTATTTATTTAACAAATTAGCATAATTGTTCACAAAATAAAATTCAACTTAAGTACAAATGATGGCCGCTCTGGCCCGGCTGGCTGTTAATTAACATGTGGGTGCAGGCGGGGCTGGTCAGGACTGGACAGCACTGGACTGAGTTCCCGCAGCGCAAATTAGTTGCGAGTGCGCCAATGCTAATTGCGGAATGGCATGTCGTTGGACAATGAAAAGCTCGCCGTGTAACTGGCTGTTGGCTGGAAAATATATGAAAATTGTTTTGACTTTAGATAAGCGACAAACTATACTATGGCCGGAGTAAAGGATGGGCCAGGGCAGGTCTGGGCTGGGCTGGGCCGCTGGCATGCCGTGATAGACGCGACGCAGCTCTGCGCAAACGAAACGACAATCAAATTTATGACTTGCAGTTGAGGAACGACAGCGGACAGCAGACAGATCTTCCTCCTGGTCACTTAAAAGCCACTTGCCAGGTTTAATTACGAAACTATCAAATGGAGCCAGCTGTTGGAGTGGCCCGCGAGATCTCATCTTTCCATCCTCCGTTCGACTGGCTGGCATCCCTTTTGTCATTATTCGACTCAAAGAGTGGCTGGACTGACTCCGACTGCGACTCTTTGTGTGTGTCCATCTGAGATAAGCTTTGTCGCCAGTTTGCTGCAAACACGCAATGACAACTCGGCTACCTATGAAGTTGTCTTCCCGCTGTTCTCGCTTTGTGCTTTGTGCGATTTTCAGTGGCAGATACAGTCCTACAAAAACGAGTATATGTGAGTGAGTGTGTGTGTGTGTGTGTATATGATAGCAATTTTAAGTAGCAACATCACACACAATGACAAGTGCCATCATCATCATTGTCATTGTCATTGCCATTGTGCCCAGGACTTGCCTTGGCTCTTCTTTCTATTTTGGCCTGCCCTTTTTGTTTAAAGTGTTGGCCGGCACACAATTGTCCTTGTTTGCTGTTGTGTTCTGTTCTGTTCGGTTCGGTTCTGTTTGCCATTGAAAAGTTGATGTTTCGGACGCTTATCGTGCAAACAATTTAACAAATGGCTAATATTATTGAGCTTGATAAGGCAAGCAAGCGGATTGGCTCTGATCGAAATGGGTATTAGGTTGTTTAAAAGTAATTGAGATATAAGCAGAACGAATGGGGAAAACTGGAGGGCGAACAGAGAGTCCAAAAACAATATAACTTAAAGAGAAAGGTTATTCAGCAGATGAAACACAACTATTATATAAATCAATTATGGAAGCTCTCTTTGGCAGACATTTTCATTATGGATACTTGAAGAGAAAAAAGTTATAGAAAAACAAAACACACATTTTAAAATTATTTATTCGGCTTTAAAAATAAAACGGAGGGGGCGGGGCCAACCGACCCACCGCGTTTTTAACTTTTTGCAACAACGATACAGACGGGGCGCACGACGGGGGGGGGGGGGGGGGGGGGGGGGGCGGAAGGGGGGGGGGGGGGGGGGGGCGGAACGGGCCGGCCCGGGGGCGGCGGGGGGCGCGGCGGGGGGGCGGGGGAGGGGGGGGCGCCCCACCCGGAATTAAATAGAATTCACTTTGATTTAAACATAGGAGTATTAAAACATTATTTTTTAATTTAATATGTTTAGCTGTGATTTATCCATTATCCTTGCCACGAACCTCGTCGAGCTTTTGTTTCGCCTAAAAGCGTTTCAGTTGAGCTTTCACTTTAACAAGGGAAAACTACCAACCCCCAGCCCAGCAGACTAAGCCACCCCCCGGAAACCAAAGAATCACGCAACACTCTACTTGCACACACACACACACACACACACATGCTCGCACGTGTGTGCGTACCGCACACGCACACTAATTCCATTAGCCCCGCACACACATGTGCGTGTCGGAAATTATGCTGGGAAGCGAACCCTCAGGAACACTGGCGTGCATTATGTTCGCCTGGTGCGAAATCTACCATGAAAGAATGTGTACGAGTATGTGACGGACAATACACGTGTCTTCGGCCTACACATGCAGCAGGGGATGCTTCAGTGTGCGATGCGATGCTGTGGCACGCATACGCACACAAGAACGAGACAAGACACGGCAGAGCGTAAGAGCGCTCCTGCATGCGACAGAGCAGAGTGAGTGGTGTGTGAGCTGTGAGCTGCGAGCTGCGAGCAGCGACCTTGAGGCCGAGTCGTCGCGCACACTTAATGAACCAACCCCTAATCAGAGGCAGAGACAGAGGGAGAAACCACCATCACCACCACCACATCGTCGGCAGCAGCAGCAGCAGCAGCAATGTAAAGACGTAGTAATGCGTCCTTGGTCGGGCTGTTCTGGGCGCCTGATAGACTAAGGTTGCTCCTAGTTACGACGTAAATGTTAACCGGTTTTGGGTGTGACAGCCGCACTGCTCTCGCCTGTTAGCGTTATGTAATGGCCTCGCCTCGCCTCGACGCAGGCCCAGCAACGTCAGTGGTAACGTCAAACCCGGCCCAGCTGGTGGGCGGGCAGCAGGCATATTCTGCCGTGCCATAGTACGGTTATACTCCGCCCCGTAGATCCGCCCTAGTTTGCGGAGCGGACCGCCTGCCGTCAGCGACATGCGCAGTGGGAGCGAATCTGGCAGGGTTTGCCAGCCGACAGTCCTGTTCGCCTGGTCATCCTTGGGCGTTACCTTAAGAAGGGTTAAAACCGCTGATGGACACGTGTCCGTATCTGTCTCTTTTAATGTGCTGCTGCTGTTGCTGCTGCAGCTGCAGAGGTTCTTGGCCGGGTTCTTGGCAAAAAACACAAAGAACCAGTCCGGGTACCGTTCGAAACAGTTTGGACCCACCCAGCGCCCTCACTCGCTAATTGAAACGCTCTGTATGACGCAGTGGTTTGGTGTGGCTGTGCCGCCCACCCACTTGGGCGTAGTCGATGGGCCACTCCGTCGAGTGCCTCGCCAATGGGATACCTCTCACTTTTCTAGTTGGTGATAATGGAAATATTTATGGATATGTAAGCCCCAGTTGATTTTTCTATCTGTTTAATTTCCAATATTCCAATGTACTCTGCCAGTGCTGGGTACCACCGCAGTTACGTCAATGGCACAGGACCCACCCCTAAAGCAAAGTGTGACAATGTCAAGCGAACACACCCCTCACACACACACACACACACACACCTCGCACACCAACACATGCAAATACTTTCGCTTTTTGGAGGTTTGCTTAGGAATGTGGCATGCCAGCGCTGTGTCGCTGTGCGCCTGGTGGAAAACTTAAACTGGAATTTCCTTTCGTTTGACTGTAAATTTCGTGGGCCCGCATTCATTTTAGTGCGGACAGTGCAATTCGAAGTAACTGTTCACACTCAGGTCTGAATGGAATCTCTAGTGGAGCTGGGTGGAATGCTGCTGACATGGCCAAGTGTCTGAAATGCTGCAGGAAAAGACAAATTCTCTCAGTAGAGAGTAGAATGGAGAGATAGAATTTAAATTTAAGCTGGCCTTCGAAGATATTCCCCATTTGATAACTTTAATTTAAGAATCATAAATTGAATGCAATTAAAAATATAATTGATTTAGGCAATTATTCTTCTGTTCTGAAATCAAAAATTAAAAATTAAAATCTGTCTCGATTAATGCATATGTATATGTACATATGTATGTACAGAGTACATACTTAACTTCATTACAGTTCGTTTCCTCTATCTCCACAACTGCAAAATAAATAGTATAAGACCACTTCGAGTATGTTTATATTGGGAAAATAAATAGTATAAGACCACTTCGAGTATGTTTATAATGGGAAATGACTCTTGATGCTGATTAAACTTAGTCATTCAAGTATTTTTCACAAGAAATATTGACATACTTGTCGGAGGTTTTTGTTACCGCAACAAGCAAATGTTGGCACATAACGATTTCGATAGATTCACAAAGACGCATTAATGCAGCTAGATAGGTATCATACCCGTTATCTTTGTTGATTCGGGTATAAATACCGGACACAGGTGGAGATCATACAACAATTGGAGTCTAGAGATAGCCATGAAACCATCAAGCGTATTCCTGCTAGCCATTGGATGCCTTCTGGCCCTGGCCAGCGAAGTGAGAGGCGAATGCTGCCGTGCCTCGCTGACCATCACCTACACAGTTGACGGCGGCCAGGACTGCGGGATCGCAGGAGGACATGGCAACAAGGATAGATGTACTATTACTGTCTGCGCCGATGGCCGGGCCCAGGTGGGCACCTATTGCGGCCGAAGCTCTTGCAACCTATTCGGCTGCGCTTGCAAGAAGGGCTGCCTGACTGGCGATTGGCTAAATAGTTTCATCAAGAACAACAACGGTCATGAAATCAAGGTTCTGGAACAGAAGTGGAATACATAATATAAGAGAGAATATGTCAATTTAATCCTTCAATATGCGCTATTATTTACTCTATAAATAAAATCAATAGCCCTGCAGATATGGCAGATTCATATATATTCCAAAGTTAAAACAAGCGCGCCGATAACATTTCATTTAAAATAGGAAAAAATGGCCACACTGTTGAGACAGACCAAGGGTCACACATCAGGTAGAAAACCCCACATTTATATGTGATTTTTACATAAGCATGCATCGCCCTCTGTTGGTAATTACATGAATCATACACCAAATATACGCCCAAAAGTGTGCTATGAAATTACACACGCGCATCTGAACTTGGTCGGTAGGTGGTGGCACAGGAAGACCAATGAAGGATAATAAAATCAATTTTTTTTTTTTACCAACGCTGGATGGCGGCACGAAAATTTCAAACCGAAAAGAGGAAGAAAAATGGCGGAGTGGGCGCCTCTAGCGGACTTGAATGTCACATAATAATTATAATTGTCGAAAAACTGCCATCAAATTCAAACAGTTGATTTTAATCATTTAAATTGTACTACTACGTTTGTGTTCAGTTTTGACATTGCATTCGGATAATTTAAATATTTATTTTTTACTCCTCTTGCAGCTATGAAAGCCATGGCAGTGCAGACCAAATCGTCGTGGCTCTCACGACATAGGAGTAGGCTCCACCGGTGTGGATATGATGATGAGAGCCAAGCTCAGAAGGAGAATGCGAAACTTAAATTTTCCGGAATGCTATTGCAACTGCACTTTTTTCTGCGCTCAGCGTTTTATAGCGTATTTATAGCAAACGGATGATTCTTGGGCCGCTAAGCGGAGTGGTACATTGATTGCCTGACTTTACCTTTTGCTAAAACTACCCAAAATGAAGGCCAATCCAAATGATTAAACATCTAATTAGCATTTCGCCTTCAACGCCTGCCTCCCCCTGTCAAGCCCCAATCGAAACTAATTCGAAAAATTTCAGAAGTGAACGAGTAGAAAAAGATATATATATATGTATACTTTGTGTGTGTACAAGTCCCAGAAGTAACGCCATTCAACAGGGGAACTGACAAATAATCTAATTAGTCGCCAGTGCGATGAGTTTCCACTGTCAAAAGATGAATTCGAGTAATTTCAGCGCCCCCAAGGAAACTACTCGAAACGCGAGCAGGAAAGATAGAGATGGGTGTGGTGGGATATGGGGGAGCGAGTGAGATGGCCACATTGTGTCAAGATGTCAAAGGGAAAGGTAATAAATTGCTGCCACCACCAGCCAGCCCCAAGTCGGCAGCTGGCTGTGCAGGGGCTACATCTAAAACGATACTTGTGGTCCAAAGATGCTGGAGGCCTATGTAGGTATGTGAGGGCAGCGCGTGCATTTTCAATTTCCGCAGGCGGCATTTTTCAATACGAACACGAATATTCCTTGGAGAGTGTGCTCTCGGGCTCATCTTGAGATGTAATTAGCTGGATACTTCATTAACCACAGTCGACAATCAACAAATGAGTAATTAACTTGCGCCTGAGACTCGGGGTCGGACTGGGACTGGGTTCCTCGTGTGCCGTTAATATTTCATAATTGAGCAATTTATTTTCGCCTCTTTGACAGGATCAAAGACGGCACCGACCCCAAAGCGCCGCCGCACGCAAATTTTATGCTCGGTTAAGGAACGCAGGGATAGTTCCGTTCCGTTAATGGTGGGTAGGCTTTGTGGGCGGGCCACGATAGTATGTAGGAACTACACAACCTTGGGGAATGGAATGGTTATGATCTGTTCTTTTTTTTGAGGAAATCCCAGTATTTTTAATATTACTACTTAGTACTTTTGGCACCTAAATATATTTTATATTTAAGTTAAATATTTTCAAATTTAGATTAAATATTTTTTGAAATCATAAGCAGCCTCTTTAGCAGTATAGTCTTCTGATTAATGTTATTTTATTATTATTTTCTTATCTATATTCTATATTTTCTTTTCATCATTATATTTTCTTACTTGAAAGATCGATAAAAGCGCTGTCGAATGACAATTTCCGGTGGTACCTGCTGTGAAATGTTAATGATCCAATCAAATGTTCATTGGAGTATCTGTTTGCTCATGTTCTGCCGTTGTTTCTGTATCTGTTTGACAACGTCAAAACACCAGACGCGACAAGAACTTGTCATAAATTTGGTTTGATTGTCTCGGGCAATGCCAAGAATCTGGAGTGGAAATTTATGCCTAGACAATTCTTTGGGGAGGGACTGGTGCTGGTGGCCTGGCATCTCTACTCCGGTTTGGGGCATTCAACGAGGCGTGTGAGTGATTTGTGGGGTTGGGGGGGGGAATGTCAGAAGTTGCGCCATTTTATGTATGTGATAAATTAATTAAAATTAGACAATAACTACAACGGGAAGCCGACTAATGAGCTGGAGACGATCGACAAGGGCAACAGTGTGGCAGAGTCATGAGACAGCCTACCCAGCTTCGGGTCTCTCTCTCTCTCTCACGCGGTTGCAAGCAGAGATCTTGTAGAACATGTCAGCGCAACAAATTTCAATTAGTTCACGCTTCACTTATTCGACGGCAGCAGAGCACTCATAAAAAGAAAGTGCCGCCCCTGAAGGAGTCGACGGAATGAAAATGGAAATGGGACTGGTACTGGGAGTCGAATTGGAGCTGCAGCACATGGCGGCCACGCAACATAATTAATTCGAACAACTAAATTTATTGTAAAACGTTGATTGTGGCCTTAATTGGGCGTGGGGTCGCCACCCAAAGGCCCTTTAGTGCCTCCCGTCACTTTCCTCTGGGAATATTGCAATGTAAAGAGCTGCAAAGAGGTCTCCGAAATCAAATGTTGGGTTATTTTCGGTTGCCCGCACTCCGGTTACATGTTTTCTGTCATAGATTAGCCGCGGCCCTGCCTCCTTGCTGCCGAGCACATAATTTCACACTCCCCCATTCCGCATCCACCATCCTCTGCCTGACTGGCTGACTGGCTGCTGGCATGAGCATCTGTTGAATGCAGATACTTATGGGAGTATCTCCCCATCGCCCTCCTCAAGTGTGACAAATGTGTGCGGAGGAGTTCAGTGGCGGAGGGTTTGACTGCGCGTGTTCGTATTTTGTATGTCTGTTGTCTGTTGTCCCTTGGATAAACTGCATATTACTTATGCAGGATGATTTACTGGGACGCGTGACAGATTTACAAGTTGCATTTACTGCATTAATTTATCATAAATATTGTTTTGGGGGCAGCATAAGCCTTGGAGAGCTTGGATTCAGAATATATGGGAGATGGCAGATTGGTGATGGCTGATGGCTGATGGGAGGAGATCTGCCAAGTTCAATAAGAGGATCTTCACACCTTGGACGGGCTGTCACATCGGAGGAAACAATTACCGAATGGCACATGCTGGCATTTCCTGCCTCGGCCAGCCTCTAATTGCACTTGATGTGTATTTATAAAAACTTTATTCATTTGGCGACACATTTTCGCCGTTTTCTCTGGCCATAATTATTATGAGGCGTTGACACAAATATCGCATGCAGGCGACTCGTGTGCAGACCCGTGGGGCAACATGAATTTGCCATTTAATTAAGATACGATGAGATACTGTTGCACATAATGCTTTTATGACTCTTTAATGCATTCTCTAAATATTACATGGATTTCAATTTAAATAATTTGCCTCTACCGCAAAATTAGTCGGCCGAAACGAGCCCCGAAATTTCTATATTTATGTATCGAAAGTGCAATTGCCTGGCGGCAGCCGCCAGCTGAGCACACTCAAAAAACAATAAAAAAGGAAAGAGTGAGAAACGTATTTCGAATCTATTGTGTTATAAAACAAAGTATCATTTGGGAAAATCAGCGAGAAGCAACGACAACAAGGCAAGGAAAGGCAAAGAAGGCAAATACAAATCCCACACGACCGACCGACCGACCCGAAAAGACATTGTCTCTGCGGTTCTGTTTTCTGTTTTCGGTTTCGGCATGTTGCATTTTTATGTGCCATGAAATTAATTTACGATTACGACAATTTAAATTTTTAAAATCACACTAAAAATATGTTAACAACCCGACCGACCCACCATCTCCGCTGTCGCATTGTCGTCCCAAGCGAAAGTGTTAAAAAGGCCCGCGGAGGAGGCCCCAACTGTGGCCGGGGGATTTATGGTTGGCTGTGGGTTTTGGGGGGTGAACGGAACGACGTTCCGTTCCGTTGTTGTTCAATATCAGAAGTGTTGACTTGAGTTTATGTTTCATATTTTTTGTCTGAAGTCATTTAATTTCTATAAACAGACAAGACAGGGCAAGTCAATGGTTCCAGGGGTGGCTCTGGGTCGCATCTGAGGACAGCGCTGATGATGATGTGGCACTGACGTTTATGTGGCACTGACATCGGAGCCAAAAGGCGGAACTCGTTCACGGCTTATTTGGCAGCTCCTTCTGGCTGCTGTGAACAACATGTTTTAAGTGCCTGTTACTTTATGAGCTTATTAAAAAGGAAGTTCTCTGTTGTTCTCGTGTTTATTAGACCAAAAAACTGTTGGCCATAAATTGTCACTTCAATGGCCAACGGAGGAAGCTCAGGTGTGCGATGCGACAAGAAAGTGCACTTAACCACAAGCTAAAAGCCAAAAAGAATAGTAATAAATTGTACCCTTAATTTTGATTTGAAATTCCTTTTCTTTTATTATTAGATATCAAAACTATCCACACAATTGGATGCGTAATCTGGCATGCAGCCCAGCCCTGGCTCTTCCCACGTAATTCCACTCGAGGGCCTGTCATTACCTCCTGAAACAGGGATTTGGCCAGTGTCTGATTTGAAAATTATTTATTCATGGCAATCAGAGCAGCAGCAGCAGCAGCAGCAGCAGAGCAAAGGCAATTGTGTTTCATTTCTCTTAATATTGCTCTCGTCAAATAAACAAATCAAATCATGGTGTTAAGGCAAATGATGGATTGACATCAGCCAGCCACACAAACACACACAGAGATTGTTCTAGTGTAAAGAAATACACTGAGGAAAAAAGTGTTTTAAAATTAGGCAACATCAAGAAAAGGGGAAAGGAGACATAAAAGATATAGCGCTGCCGTATATGCCATGATCTGATCTCATGATCTTATCCTTTAAGTCCCCTGGCTGTTGCTAGCAATTCATACTTTGATATTCTATACAGAGTCTGGAATCCACTGACTATCTGCCTCAGCTCGGCAGATTCATACCCAACTTGTACACTTAGTTCAAATGCCTGTCTTGCCTTTGGTTGGCTGTTTTTCGCACTGTGTAGCTGCACTGGTGAACTCAGTTAGTCAGCCAGAAAGCCAAACACTGGGAATGCTGCAAATCCAAAAAATCGTGTCCTGGTGGCAACAATGCCAGCAAAACGCGACTCGCTCTGGAGTAGCAAAAGCAACCGAGGAACAATTTTTGCAGCATGTCCTGGATGTTTGTCCTTGGTGGAGGGGCTGCCAGGCACTGCCTTTGTTGCCGCAGTGCCTTTAAAATGGGTTCGGTTGGTTCCCTTCTTGCTCTGCTTGGCCTTTTTTTCGCAGCGCACTTTATTTTGTATTTTCCACACTTTTTGTGCGACCCGACCTGACTTGGCACAGAAAGAACAAAGCGAAAACATACTCGTTCGGCTGGGTAAAGGGGGGAAGAAAGCTCGAAAACATTCATAAAATATGCATTATGCAATCTAAGCTCGTGTGAGCGTTGCTAAATATTTCATGCACGTGTATTGTACTGCACAGACTCACACACACACACACACACTCACACACCGAGGATGATGGTACATATTGTGTGGTTTATGATTTTGTTTTGCCGCTGAATATATTTATAATCATTAATATCACAAAACACAAAGCCAAATATCGAAATTAACAAATTTCTTTATGCCAGAAATGTTCCACGCTCCACCGAAGACAAATGGCCGGAGCCGCACAACAAACACGGAATGTGCTAAAATAAAGCTGGCAAAATTCCGAAATAATAAAAACATTAAATACAGTTTTAAATAACATGTGCCGTTTAACACATTGAGCTGCGGATTTTTGTTCATTTTTAATGCCCTTTCTGTCGGACTCTGCGCATAAATTTCATCTTAAATTGCGCGCGCAGACCAACAGAAAACAGAACAGCCAAGAGGCAAAGGAAAACCATTCGATTCCCCTTTGGGTTGGTTGGGGAAAAGCCAACGCCGCCCACTTAGCGCCGCCGCCGACTTGGGTGGCTCCCTCTCTCTCACTCACTGTGACTGTCTCCGTCTCTGTCTCTGTCAGGTTCTGATTTTAATAAGACTGCCAATTAGCATTTGTGTGTGTGTGGTGCCCCCCACTCGGTGTTCCGCTTAGTTTAATTTGATTTGCCTAAGCAGTCAGCTTCGGATCTTAATTTCTGTATTTCGAAACTATTAAATTATGGGCAAAACGATGTTGTGCTCTTTGATCTGTATGCCAAGAGTCAACGGAAAATAATGTCTTTATATAAACAGACTGGTGGTGGGGTATAGTAGGTACATATACTTTTATTACTGGCCGGACCATACGACTTTTCTTTGTTCTGTTCTGTTCTGGTCTGGCTCCCTGTTTTCTCTCTGCCTGTGCGCCTCGTTTACGGCCTTTTAATGAGAATTATGTGACTTTAATTTATGTCTCAATTTTGCGCATATTAAAATCTTTATTTTGTGATTCAACTTCTACGATTTGGCAATGTGGTCCGCATGCTGTAGGGGAAATGTTAAATATATAATACATATTTTTTATAAATTAATTCTATGACTTACCTATTTGGACTAATAAACTTTATAGTTGTTGTGCTGGTGCTGCTGTCATCAAAAAAACTGTTTTACAACCCTAAGTTTTCTTTACAATAGACATAATGATTTCTGGCCTTTCAACCCTTCTTGATTTGTGGGCACGTTGCTACCCTCTGGCGTAATTCCTCGAATTTTATGACTACTCACAGATAAAGTTAATTTGTGATAGAAAGAAAACTAAAAATTGTTTTTATTCGTATCCAAAAAATATCTGATATGATATCTATCATTATTCCAAAAATTAACCTTAAAATCAACTAAAATGTTACTTCCTATCCCCAACTAGCTTATGCACATATTATATGTGCAAATATAGCACTCCAAAACTCACCAAAACACACAAACCTTTAATTTCTGTTATGTTTGCATATCGGATGCACACTTTTAATTGTTTAATCAAAAGACAAAAGTCGGTGGCTGGCAAAAGGCAATTGTTACGGCTAATGACTGCAGCTTTCAAAGTGTATAATTTAATCGCTGCTGCACATAGTGTCATGCGGGCATATCGTCCTGTGCTGGCCAAAGCATGTCCTGCTGGACAACAAGGCAGCACTGGCACTCCACTACAAATGCAGTCCACCCCCAACACCACCCCCCCACTCGGCTCGTTCACCCTCACCCACACCCAGGCATACGGCAATCCACACTCAGAGCCCTGTGCACAGCAGACTTAATATCTAAAGCAATTCACAGTTATGAAAATAAGAGACATATCCGCAAAACGACAAGCACAGTAGCACGACACTGGCACCGCCACCGCAACGACAGTAGAAGCAGTGGAGTGGGGCGGGATCAGGGACAAGGACTATAGCAGCAGGAGCAGCAGCAGCAACAAAGAAGAGGAGAGGACGAGCCGAGAGAAACTTCTGCTAACGAAGTAAGTACCCTAGAGGACACTTAAGCGTGCGACCCAGCCCAACTTGTGACGGGCGTCATAATGTCGCCAACATTTTTCGAAATTACACACAAATGACAAAATAAAAGGTGCAAAAAGTCTGCAAAGGGACCAAAAAGCAAAAAGCTGCAGGGGAAATCCCAATTCCACATATATATATGTATGTATATATGTGTATGGTTTATACCACTCTTTCCCTTACTCTTATGTTGAGTGAAAGAATCCATCTCTCTCGTTCTCGCTCGCTCTCTCTGTTGAGTGATTTCTCTCTGGCGGCCATGTTGAAAACGTCAAAGAGCAATTTCCTGAGCATTGAGTGAGTTTCTTCTGCTGCCACCCTCTCATTGGCTGTGCAGAAAGAGGGCGTGTTCAGAGAGACGAGACGAGACGTTCGTTGCGCAGTGAGTGAGAAGAGAGTGAGCGTGGGTGGGGGGCTGGGAAAGGGGATGTGTAGCTACGCGTTAAGTTGCGGCTGCCGAAATGAGGGTTAAATCGCGTGCATAATTTAGCAGTTCATTTCATTCATTTGAGTGCAAGTACTCCGTGCTCAGTGCTCTGAGATGTGTCGCCGCTGCCTAAACGCTCTTTCTGTCTCTCCGAGTGAGAGTGCGAGTGTGGGGGGTGTGGGTGTTCGGGCGCTGGCGCAGTGGCGACAGCGACGCTGCAAATATCTACTGCCGTTTACCGCTACAATGACAAGCATTTATGGCAATTAACACTTTAGCTGTTTATACGCTGATGCTGCTGCTCTGCTGCTGCTGCTGGTGCTGGTGCCGGAGCACTGACAGCGGAAAAGCTGCTTCAGCCATTGGCCTGGCCCATTGCTGCCGATTCCTCTCTTGTTGTTGTTGTTGTTGTTGCTTTTGCTGCTGTTGCTGTTTCCGTTGTGCACGCTTAATCGTGTCGTCCATTAGAGGCAGACCCAGACCAAGGTCCACTTCATTTGCCTAAAATCTAATTGCATTTTCCATGCAAATCACGTTCACTAGTTCGCGAGTTCTTTTCGCTCCCTCTCGCTCTCCCTCTCTCTCTTACTCTATCTCCCTCTAGCTTGTTCGTTGTCTTATTCTTGCTGGCATTTCCGTTTCCGCTTTTGCGTTTAGTGCAAATCCAATATCGTGCATAATTAATTTGCAATTAGCACGTTTCTGTTTTTGTTTTCATTTCACCAGCAACGCGCTGCCATCCAGCTATCCAGCCACCCAGTTCTCCCCTGGCTGAACTGCTGGTCGCCTGGTTGGCCCATAGGCGGTACATATAGCCATTGAAATTTTCTAATTACGTGCACAAGCTGAATGCAAACTAGTTTCAGCCACGCTCCTGGCCCCTCTGGACACTTGGCTGGCTGGCTGGTTGGCTGGCTGGCTGGCCGTCGGCATTTCGGCCAGACCACGTGCGTCCATGTCGATGTCGATGATGGCCTGCGAAATGGGCTGGCATATGAAATGAGCTGCAAATTGATGGAGGAATTAGCGCAGCATATTTAATTTGTGGCAACAACAACACGGCCTCGCTCGAATGGCTGTTTGCACGCCCGTGCACACCGTGTGGGCTGCTGAAAGATGGGCTACTAATGGGCTTTTAGTTGCACATTTTTAATGCAGATTTAACTACGGATTCGATGGGGAGATACCAAAAGATTATGGCATTGACAGGAGTCGATATAAATGTCATATTTATATGTAAATTAATATTTAAATACGTATACAACCAGACCAAAGTCACATTTTATTTTCTACATCGTAAAATAACAACTTTAAACTAAATTTACTAACTAAAAAGTAACAAATAAAATGCGTAGAGCTCCGCGAGTGCCTCTCTGCGAACTTCCCCGACTTCCCCGTCTTCATGGGGGCCTCGACGAGGAGCGAATGTGCTGGATTTGCCTGGACGGCGAAGAGGGGCCGTCGCAGCGTACGGATTGGCTCCATCCGTGCCGCTGCCGCGGCAGCAACAAGTGGGTGCACCACAACTGCCTAAAACGCTGGATCGACGAGTGGCAGCTGCGACATCCGAACAAGCCGATCGCGTGCCCCCAGTGCCGCACAGAGTACATCATTGTGACGACGCCGCTGTGCCGATTCGATGCGCTGCTATCCGGGATCGACGACTTCTACGGTACAGTGTGTTCCAGCGTGGCGATGGGCACAGTTTCGGCCGCTCTCTACTTCTCGGCGATGACCTTCGGGGCCCTGACGCTCATCCAGATTATCGGCTACCGCAAGAGCCTGGCGCTACTGAACGAGAAGTCGACGCTACTGATAATCGTCCTGCCGACGATTCCTGTGGGGCTTCTGCTGCTTCGCAGAATAAGATTGGATGACTACATGCTGCGTTTCCTACGCATCTTCCGTAGCCGGCGCAACGGCGTGCAGCCAGAGGATCTGGATGAGGCGGGCGAGAGACTGCCGGGGGCCCCGCTCGACGCCAACTACTTCGATGATCTGCCCCAAGATGATACGGCTGCGGACACAGACCTACAGGACTCCGAAATACTAGGCAGCGAGACAATGCGCAGAGCCTCGACCAGCTTCGTGGTGGCCCTCAGTCTGCCCAGCTTTGCCGTGCTGCTGGGACGCAGCTTGTACGCGAAGATGGAAAACAGGTTCCTGGGCATCCTCCTGGGCGGTATGACGTTCCTGGGCATCAAGGGACTGGCCAGCGCCTATGTGCGCCATTCTCACGTGAAACGTCTGCGCGGTCGCTCCGTGCTGGATCATGTGAAGCGCTGATCGAAGTCAAGCAGGACACAAAGACAGGCCCTTATTCCAGTTTAATATAAATAAATTTTGATGGCACCCAACCCCACACTTTCCAGCATGCAGGAATTTTAAATTTTGTAAAAATCTAGAAATAATATTAAAAAAGGAAATAATAAAAATTCTTAGTCATGATACGTCACATTATCAGAACTCATATTTCGTAGTACTGGTATGCTGAAGCGAGTCCAAGAACGAGTGAAACCCAATCAATGAATTATGCAAAATTAAGCTCGGCGAAAAAGCGATTTGCCAGCAAAATTGGATAATGAGTTTAGGCAATCCAGCAGCTGTCTGCGCTCCCACACAGTCGCAGCTTTACCCAGCTGGCTGACTAATTTATGTATTAACTTTGAACGCTCATTAGTTTAATTAGTCAAACAAATTAACGTGCGGGGCTTACGGCAAGTGGAGTGCAAACAACAAAATGGCCGAATAAACAGAGCGAGGAGCGTGGAGCGGCGAGCCGAGAGAGGCGTTGCTCTGGGTGAGGCTGGAGTGTGTCGAGGCCTCCACTCGCACTTCATTAAATATACAAATACAACGGACAGTGGCCCCATAGGCTTAGGGCGGCAGAAATTGACAGGGCAGAAATAAATGTTACACATAAATAAATTGAGAATAATTCAATTAACGCATAATTATGCAGATGGCCGCGCCCTTGTAGTTCTTTTAATTGCATTTGTCGCGAGGTCAGTGGATTTTCGATCTGCCCATCGATTGGCTTGGCTCTCTCCCTTTCTTAAAGGTACTCAATTTGGCTTTTAATTAGTTGTAAATCTTGCGCAGCCTGTTGAAAGCCAAAGGACGGGTGGGGGTGGGGGTGGGGGGTGTGGGTGGGCGCAACTGCCGCCATTGCATGCACTATTTATTTTAACAAGAGCTGCTCATTTAATACTTATTTTCACTAATTAAATGGAAGAGTAAGTACATCACAGCACAAGCGAGAAAGAGAGGGGGAGAGCAAACCAGAGAGAGAGAGAGGCGAGAGAGCACTATACATGCGACAGCCAGAGCAATTTTCCGCTTTTCCGCAGCGTAAAAAGTTTGATGTCTATGTAAACAGCGGCTTTTGTGTGTGGGTGGTGGGGGGACGCTGCAACATACATGCATATATATGTGTGTTTGTGTGTCTGGCGAGCTGCCAATTTTCCTGCCCCACTCACACATACAGCAGCCATGTATTGGTTCACATATATGTATGTACATGTGTATATGTATGTGTCTGCGTCTGTGTGCACATGCTAACGTATTCCGTATAGTACGTTGGGGCTGTTTGAGCGCACTTAAATAATGAATAATGACGAGACAAGCAATTAAAATAATTTGCGGTTTTACCGTGCGTATGCGCATCATTTAATTTTGCATGTAAAAGAGTTAAGCACTTACCCACACTGAGAGAAATCTACAAGTGGAAGCGGGTATAATACACCCCGACATTTATCTCTTCATACAGATGATGATGCTAAGATGAGATTATTCTCGCAGTGATCCAAATGCATGCTATACATACTCCTATATATATATACATACATTTACTCATACGTCATACGTATACGTATATATGTAAGTCCTCCCATCAATGGGGGGGGCCAATTAAAATGAGTGGCTGGCGCATTGGATTGGTGTTGGTGGCGGTCGGTCGGTCGGGCGGGCATCTTAAAACTAATTAAAACGAAAAACGGCATAACAAGCTGCTCATTAAGTATCGCGTTCCCGTTCTGCCACTCGTTTTGCGGTTAATTATAGAAGAGCGGGGCCGAGCAGTGCTAACGAGTGACGAGGCGAACAATAAAACGAACAGAAACAGCTAAAAGAAGAAGCAGCAGAAGTAGTTGCGGATGATGATGGAGGGAGAGGGAAGAGGGAAGTGTATCTAGCTGGACCCCACATTGACTTCCACTTGCCCACCCATCCAAATCTGAATCTCCGCTCTGCTGCCGTTGGAGTTCATTAAGCAGCATCCTCGGCCCGGGTCCGTCCTGCGTCCACTTAACGATGTCACTTATACGCCCCATTGTGCGCTCAAACCCAGCCTCCGTCCTCGGTCCAGCCAGGCAGAGCGGATAGGAGCAGAGCAAAAGAGCCTATCCATCCCCCCGTTCGGACAACCAACCATCCACCCATACAACACCAACCCCAACCCCCACTGAAGGCCACTGCTGCGATGCGTATAAACCGCAAATTGGATGCGATATTAAATCGCCTGTGCCAAAGCGCATATAAATTTTTGTTCAATTTAAAAGAATCTTTTGGTGAGAGCGAGCAAGCGCAGAGAGAGAGAGAGAGAAGAGTGAGAGAGAGACCCAAGTAGAGTGCAGAAATAGTCCGTCTACCGTCTCACTCAAGCACTTGCGAGTTTTACATAGAAAAAAGTGTCGTCAAGTCAAGTGGATAGCTGATAGTGAGGAGTGGACAGGTGGGGGGAGAAACGTAGCCAACAATGGCCAGTCCTGGAGCAGCCTTTAAGCTGATTTTCCACCAGAAAAAAGAAAGTAGTAAAACAGCAAATAAATAAACCATCTAATTAGCAACATAATTAGGGGAGCAAGCGAATTTAAAAATTCAATTAAGCTGAAGAAAATCTGGCAGAGCAGTGTGGAGCAGCTCTCTCTTGTTTGCCGCCCTCTGCCAACCTCTGCCACCGTACTCCGTCAATCCTATGCCATAAAGGCACAAAGCATTCATGCATATATGACTAGGAACCACCCAGGCATACGCGACCGAGGAAGCAAAAGGAGAGGAAAACCACTCGCAACATACAGAAAGCAAATAAAATATATAAAAAAAGAAAACGTTGGGGATCCATTTCGGAAGCAGCCGAGCGCATAAACAAACAAATTTTGCGCTAAATAATTTGACAATTACTCACATCCGCACATCCGGGACGGGAGGGAGGGATCCCAGCTAGACCAGCCTTTGTTTTCCTCGTGTTTACAGCTATTACAGTTGAGTGGAGAACTATGTAAAACAGAGAGGAGAGCCGAAAGAGCACCTCTGCCACTTGCCTTCCCTCTCCACCCATACGATACTCTCTACGGCTCTCTCTCTCTCTCTCTCTTCGGCTGGCTGGCTGTGGCTTAGACTCGGAACAGACCATTACATTTGCTAACGAGTGCAAGGCAAATTAAATCATTAGATGCTAGTAGAGATTAGAGCTGCTAGCCCGCACGGCAAAGGAGGAGTCAATCCCACTCACAAAATGTACCAGGAACCACTCAACTCACCCAAATGGGGGCGTGTAGTGCTGCCCGAGAGAGAGAGAGAGAGCGAAAGAGAGCGACACCACTCGAAATAGCCCACCACCAACCGAAAACAGATTTGTGTGTGCTTCCCCATTTAGCAGTTGACTTGCCACAGGGACACTCAACGGCAGCAGGGCCGCCGCCACGCATCTGCTGGATTATCAACCCGACACCCGAGCAACCCTCATTACGGTCCAGGCTCTCGCTCTGTGCAGTGTGAGTCGCTCGCTCCCCGGATTACGCTCAGGATAAGCGGATAGGATAGGATAGCATCGCCAGATATTGGGAGATACGCGCCGGCCTCAGTGGACAGTCGATTGGCTGCCATCAAGCGGACAAGACACACAGCGCGCAACACAGTGAACCGTGCAACCCCGCAACCCCGTGAACCGTGCAGTTATTTTGAGCAGTGTATTGAACGCAAAGTGTATTGAGAAGCGAAAGAACTTGCATCAACATGGTCATGTTGCAGTCGCCGGCGCAAAAGGCCAGCAGCGACAATCAGCCAACGGCCGTCGGTGGCCTGATGAGTCCCAACTCCAATCCGGACTCGCCCAAGTCGAATACTTCGCCGGAGCTGGGCAATGTGGAGGCAGGTGCAGCAGCAGGCGGAATGGCCACTTCTACGCCCCCAAAGATACCCAAGTTCATCATCAGCGCGGGCAGCGGACAGCAGCAGGCGGCGGCCAAGCAGCAGGAGCAGGAGCTGCGCTACTCCCTCGAGCGGCTCAAGCAAATGAGCAGCGAGTCCGGCAGCCTGATCAGCCGCCTCAGTCCCACGCAGGAGGTGTGCCCCTCAGACAAGGAAAAACCCAACCACAACAACAATAACAACAACAACAGCAGCCTGACAAACCACAACAACAACAACAATAACAACATCAATGGCAATGCATCGCGTCGATCGCAGTCCCCGCCAGCATCAGGAGCAGCAGCCAACGTTGTGATCAACAACTTCTCCTCGCCCGCCCAGCAGCGAAAGCTCTTGGAGCTGAGTGCCGTGCGCCAGTTGGCGCGGCCCGAGCCACTGCAGCATCCACACGCGGCGCTGCTGCAGCAGCATCCGCATCTGCTGCAGAATCCACAGTTCCTGGCCGCTGCTGCGGCCCAGCAGCACATGCACCACCACCATAATCACCACCATCACCAGCAGCAGCCTCATCCGCACTCGCATCCGCATCCACATGCACATCCTGCAGCTGGAGTGTTCCATCTGAGGGCTCCCAGTGCCACTAGCAGCACCACTGGGCCGCCCTCGCCCGCCACATCGCCACTGTCGCCGCCCACATCTCCAGCCACACATTCCGAGCAGGCGACGAGCTCCCCCCACGCAGCACCAGCAGCCAATCCTCCCGCACATTCCATCCAGCCACAGCCACAGCAGCAGCAGCCACAACCAGCACAGATCCTGCTAAGCAGCGGTCCGCATCCGGTGAGTCCCTTGTCCGCCAGCGACATTGATTTGGAGCGCATTAAGCTGGTGGCTGCGGTGGCCGCCCGCTCCAACCAGGCTCCAGCTGCGAGCACATCCGCGGCAGCCGCCTCCGCCTCCAGCTCCACTTCGAACTCCGTCTCGCCGGCTGGCCGAGACCTGAGTGACTACGGCTTCCGAATACAGTTGGGTGGACTGGCAGCAGCGGCGGCAGCTGCGGCGGCCACCTCACGCCAAATAGCGGCCGCTAATTATGCGCGCAGCGACACCAGCGAGGAGCTCAATGTGGACGGCAACGACGAGGACAGCAACGATGGATCCCACAGCACGCCGTCGGTAAGTGTTCAGGGAAAAACAAACAGACCGACCTGAATTACGATTTCAGTTATACTTTTCTTATAAGCAGAAAATATGCCATTGGCATAGCAAAAAGAAACATATTAAATATTCGGCTCTTGGAATTAAATATAATTCACTTTAATTTAAATCTAAGTGTAACCATTAACCATTAGTGTTTTTTTTTTGATGTGTTTACATTTTTTCCGAATTTATTATTTTTATTATTATTTTTTTCTCGAATTTATTATTTTCATTATTATTTTTTTTATTAAGAAATTACTTTTGGAAAATTATAAAACCGATATAGAGTTGTGAAGTGGAACAATTACAATTTTCCAGTGCCTAATTTAACTTGATATTCGTCATATATTTTGTACAGGTCTGCCCAGTTGATCTGACACGTTCAGTGTCCACAAATGCCACGCCAAATGCCAACTCTGCTTCGACCAGTGCCTCCAGTGATCGTGAGGCGGCCACCAAGCGCCTGGCGTTCTCCGTGGAGAACATACTGGATCCCAACAAGTTTACTGGCAACAAAATGCCCGCCTCCGGGCCATCCCTTTGGACATCCAAGGCAGTGGAGCTACGATCGCGATGAGGAGATGCACGAGCGCTTAGACGATGATCAGAGCGAGGATATGTCTGGTGAGTGTTTCCCGCTCTTATAAGTCATATTCAAGGAGAGAGGCTGGGACTTCTCACACTCGATAAATAGCAAATCACTGTGGGCACTAAGTAATCGTTTACAGATTTCGATAGAAATCACTTGAAATTCAGGGCACATCAGCAGCAAACACGATCCCTCGAGTGTCTCTGGGAATACATATGCACAGACATATATATGTATGTATATGTGCCATAAAGAGAAGCGTAGCACAGACAGACACAGACAAAAAAAAAAAAACGAGAGACGCAAACCACCTGCAAACAGTTGGGTTTTGCTCTTCCATTGAAAAAGTGCTTTCTGCCTCTCGATGGGGGTGTAGCCACCCCATGTGGGTGGTGGCATGTTGTATTTATACTGCTGCTTGTATCGTTTTTAGGTATGTTTTGATTTTGAATTTGCTTTTGCCTGCGCCCCACTCCCACTCCCACACACACCTCTACCATCGGGCGCCACCATTTTGAAGCATTGGAGATTTTTCTCTTGCCAGTCACGTATCATGTGGCGCTGCCTGCGCTCTGTGGGGGATGTGGAAAGCATTTATATTTTTCGTATATTCAATGGCAAACAAATGCGCAAATACCAGAGTAACCCGCATGCAAGCAACACACAAAAAAACAACAGCAGGAGCTGCACACGAACTTGTTTAGACCAGAAAGGATATGCACTCATATCCAGTAAGGATTTTCAATAGAATTGCTTTTAATTGATTGATTGATGTTTTAATTGGGGAAAAGCCATTGCTTTTGGGGAAAAGTTACATTTTCTTTTTTTCCTCTACCTCCCACCCCCATCTCTCACTCTGTCTCTCCCACTCCTCCAATGTTTATCTTGCTGCGGATCAGGTTCCGGTTTTCCCAATGGTTTTTTTTTCCGGCTGCTGTTTTTCTTTCGGTTGCTGGCTAAAAATTTTTGCTGAAAATTAATTGATTTTCATGCTCGGCTTGCTGCAAAGAAATTGCTCAAATAAAAATTTGCAAATTTGATTGAAGTTGTTGTGAGGCGGTGCGGGGTGGGGCGGGCGCTAAGCTTTTGCCAAAGCGCCAAAAACGGGGAAAAAGAAAAATCTCTGCGGATGGTTGGGTTGTGGATGGAGCTTAAGCTCAAGTTTTGAAATTGACGGAGCGGTTTGTTTGGATCTGATTATGAAATGGGGCTCCGAATCGTTGACTTAATTGGTAATGGCTTGTGGTTATGGCAAGTCCATTGCAGAAAATAATTGAATTCTGCGGAAACTTAAGCGAAAAAGTGGTCGTTGATCGACATGTTTGAGCTGCTCGTTTAACCCATTCCCTGTGATCTCCTTTGAGGCTCGCTCTGGCTGTTTGCCTTTGGCCAACATGGCAAGCGAATGGTTAATATATGTATGTATGTGGGCATATACGTAGTCTGCCAATTAATTCACTCACTTCAAAGTGCCATTCACACACCAGCACACCAGCACTCACTCCCACTCACACTCATTTGATGGGGCCCTTCGTTAAGCGCTTATGTACGAAATTATAGCACACAGAAAATGGCGCACAGGCAGCACCAGAACCAGCGCAGTACCAGCACCAGCACCAACCTCATTATCAACGACACATTATCGGCCATTGCTGGCTGTCCTGCTGTCCGTTGTCGGCTTTTCTGTTTGTGCATTTGTGTTTGTGTTAATAAAACACAATTAACTTCATCAATGGTGGGCCCTCCGAGGGCTCCGCTCCGAACATAACTGCTAATAAAAGCGGCTGAATGGCCCCAGCCAGGAAGTGGAGGCTGCTCTGCTCGTAGGCAAACATACGAATGGCGGAAAATGGACAGGCAGACAGACAGTCAGGCAGACATTGGAAAGGCAGAGCAGGGGAGACTTTGCACGATAATGATGTTGGAAATAATTATGTTGCCGCCATGGTTGTTGCTGGCAGTTTATTGCCTGCCTGGCACAAGTTTACAATCCAACCCCCAGGACCGGGCTTTGCAAGCTATCTGTGTGTCTGTGTCTGTGTTTTGTCTGTGTCTGCACATCACGCATACGCACTGTTTGCGGGCTTGTATTCAACGACTGTTGGTTGGTTGGCGTTGGTGTTGGTGTTGCTGTAGTCATTAATTAGCAAGGTACTTAATTACCGCACATTCATTAGGCGCTTCAATGGCGCTGCTGTCGCCCAGCCCCATGCTTGGCCCTGATTTGATGGGCTATTCGGAGGAGGTGCTAATGCGACTCTGCCTCTCTCGCTTTTGGCTTCGGATTAGCGTAATTATGCGGCCTTTTGTCATTGCGACTAATTAGATTTTATGGCACATTCTACTCACCCTTCCCCTCCCTCACTCAGTCTCCCTCTCGCTTAGCAAATGCAGCAGCCGCAGCCGCAGCCGCATCAGAACTGGTTAATAATTCATAAATATTACGCATACAAGCAGCGGGCAGCAGCGCAATTCTCCAAGGCGCCATTCATTTCGGTTTAGGCGGAGCAGCAGCGGTGGCAGGCCGAGCAATTTGCATTTCATTTAAATTGCAAAACAAAAGTGAAGCATAAAACTAACACAAACACACCAACTAGGCAATAACTGGGAGAGCAACAAAAATAACACGACTCCCGTGTAGATACAGATCCCCCCCACCACCCCCCATACATACTCGCACGAGTGTGTGTTGCCTGCATAATCCAGATAGTACAGAGCAGAGCAGAGCAGCGTCGGAAATGCGCCCCAAAAGTCATATGAAAAAACATGCGATAACTAAGTAAGTTGCTGAAGGGGGGGAAAATCCGTGAGGGGCGGGAAAAACTGAAACTGGTTCTGTGCCAACATTTAAATGTGGGCGGGCATGGCCCGGAACGGCTGATGGAGCAACCAACCCCCACACACACACACACACACACAAAAATGTAAAATGGCTGCGAGAAACTTTTATTCTTTTTGCAGCACTCCATTTGCCAAGCGCTCTCACTCTCTCTCTCTCTTGCTCACTCTCTTGTGTTTGGAGCACTCTTGCATATGTATTAGTGTTCGCACTCAGGGGAACACTCTCTCTCTGTCTCTCGCTCTGTATGCGTGTGTCTGTCGAAGTAAGGAAGGAAGGAAGGAAGGTTGGTTCATTTTAAGCGACAATTTTGAGAGCATGGTGGGGGGGCTTGGTTGGAGCTCGACTCGCTTTTACGAGTATTTTCCGTCCATCAGCAACTCATTTATTATTTTATGAAAATGGCAAAATGAGACGACAAATGCTCCCAGGGGTCGCATTGGCCAGACGGGATGCGATTACAATGATTGCCACTGCCACAAAGAACTTTCAAATTTATAAGCCATTTTGGCTGGTGGTGGCGGGTAAATTATGCGCCAGTTTGTGGTAATTAACACTCGGATTTCATAATTAAGTTTAAATTGTATGCCTGTAATGGCATCTCTCCATCCCTCCATCCCTCCATCCCGCCACTCACCATTCCTCCCTGTGTCTGCTCAAAATTGCTCCATCGAGCATTCCATCTGGGCATATGAGCCTTTGTCTCTCTCTCCCCCTTTCTCTTCTCCCTTTCTGCTCCACCATATCATCAAAATTGCTTATGAAGTGCTTCTGGCCGTAATTATAATTAACTGCAGTCATTTTGGAAATGGCAGATAAGCAGAGCAGAGAGCAGAGAGCGCAGAGGCCTCACGATTGTGCCATATAATGATGATCAGCCCTTTATGAGGGTCATCGACTAAACGACGGCTCATGACTCCATCACTCGAAGGCAATGCCTCGTGTTTGTTGTTGTGGAAACTTTGAATTATTCTTAGTCAAAGTTGAGAGTCGACTCTCAATTACATGCCCCCACACACACACACACACACACACACAAACACACAAACATACTCGTACTCGTACTCGCACACTCCACATGCCACTACCAGATTCTGGCTTACTTGCCGTAAATATGCATAATCCTTTCAGTATAATTAAACGTGGCTCACAGTCAGCTGTAAATATTGAACTTTTGCCTGTCTGGCCAAATGGCTCCCTGCCAGACATATTACGCATTCGCCATGTTGCAGCGTTCAGTTGAATGGCCATCGTAATTAGGCGCACTCTCACTCTCCTCTCCCCTCTCCCCTCTCTCTCGATCTGTCTCCCCTGCCCCACTCTCCGCTTGCGGTTGCAACGCTTATTAACCAGCTGTGGCCAGGACCAGGATGTAGCTCCCCCTTCGAATTTTACGCGTCTGTTTGCCAGCGCATTAAGCCTCCGACTGCCGGCCAGCCAGTCGGTCGGTCGGCTGGCTCCCCTTTCGTTCTGTGTGTTTTTGATGCTGGTAATTCAATTGACTCAAACCAATTGTGGTCAGGGCCAGTCGTCGACTCACTTTCGGTTAGGTATTGATGAGGCTGCCGGACGATGGGCAGTCGGCGGATGCCGGGCATCTAATGTGCCATTAATGCATATCAAAGTGGCTGCAAACACTCCACAGCCCATTACCAGCGATAATGGGGGCCCCGGTCCCTCCCTGCCTGTCTGTCTGTCTGTCTTTCGCTGGCCGCTGCAAAATTCGTTAAATATTAAATGAAGCGTTCACGTAAATTTTCGGTTTAATTGGCGCACACTGTCTGTGGGGCTGTGGTGCGCTTTTAGGCGCATCGCCATCTGCATCTGCTCCCCCTGCCACACTGCCTAATTTCATGCAAACATGGCCAATCATGTTGGCCAATTACCAGGGCAGGGCCATGTATTTTCCATGCAGACGAAAAGCATCTTTGACGGAGGGTTGACACTTTTCTCGACCCTTTTTGTCGCCTGACTTGCTCAAGGGGGTTGCCGTTAGAGTTGCCCCAATCGCTTTTATTCCCGCAGCTAAAATTTGTTAACAAGCAAAGTTTTAATGGCCTTAAGCATGATCCGGTGTTGCGTTGGGTTGGGTTGGGTTTTGGTTTCTTAAAGTTGCATATTCTGCCGTAAGAGATATACGCGATGCGGCAAGTGCCAGTTGGTCAGTGTGGGCGCTTCCTTAATTGAATTTTGATTGCCGAATCGATTGCAATCAACTTTAATCCAATGCCAATCTTCCGCCTGGTCCATCAGCCACTCACATGTGCGCCGAAAAATTCCAATTAATCGAACAATGATGCGGTGGTGGATGCGAGGTGATTGATTTCATTTCCGTTTGCCAATCGTGGACACTGGCCCTTGATGGATGGCCCGCCCCAGCACGGGCAGGCCTGTTGACTTATGCAAAAATTATCATCCACTCATTCTCTCGCTCTCTTTTTGCTCTCTGTGTTGCAGCTCAGGATCTTAATGACATGGATCAGGATGATATGTGCGATGATGGGAGCGACATTGATGATCCCAGCAGCGAGACAGACTCAAAGAAGGGCGGCAGCCGCAACGGCGATGGCAAGTCCGGGGGCGGTGGTGGCGGTGGCAGTGGCGGCTCCAAGCCACGACGAGCACGCACCGCCTTCACCTATGAGCAGCTCGTGTCGCTGGAGAACAAATTCAAGACCACACGCTACTTGAGCGTCTGCGAGCGGCTGAATCTGGCACTCAGCTTGAGCTTGACTGAGACACAGGTGAGAATTCGCTCCGTTCCCAGCAAGAAATTTATGCAGATCCACATATAAATAAATATATTTTTTTCTTGAAATTTTCTTCGCAGGTGAAAATCTGGTTCCAGAATCGCCGCACCAAGTGGAAGAAACAGAATCCGGGCATGGATGTGAACAGTCCGACTATACCGCCACCAGCGGGCGGCGCCTATGGACCCGGTGCCTATGCCAGCAGTCTGCTCTATCCGCACGCCGTGCCATATCCGCCCTACGGTCCCTACTTCCACCCTCTGGGCGCCCACCATCTGAGCCATTCGCACTCATAAAATTGTAAGATGCAACAGCGATTGTTGCAACTGTTCGAAAAGCGAGGGAAGCCGCCCGAGGGAGCCAGGACCCCCAGTGGGGGCAACCGATAAACTGTAAATGTCGAACTGCTTTAAGTGTGTGTGTTTAGTATCTCTACGAGTAGCCTCCCTTAGTTTGTGTGTTATTTCATTTCAATTAAGTTGTGGCTGTACATAGTTCGTGTAAAAAAAATATACCCACTTATACATACGAGTATGATAGCGCTTAGTGAACCTCGAATGCCATATCTAGAATTAAATTAAAACTATAACATAACTTGTAGCGTTTAAGTGGCAAGCAAAATCAAAAAAGAGCAAACCAAAAACTGCATAAATGTCAAGTGAGAAATAAACATTTTAAAAATAACCAATGCGTATCCTTAAATCAGATTGCCGAACATGCGAATTGGATGCATGAGGGTGCGAGGGAAAAACAATTTATCGCAGCGCTGCACACAAAGACACAGACAGATACAGAGGACAGCGGACAGGAGTCCGTGTGGCGGCAGAGGCGTGTGAAATGACAGGACAACAATGCTAAGTCAAGTGTAAAATTTTAAATTTGCTTCTCATTTGCCATGAGCGGCTCAAGCACTCACACGCACTCCGAGCACTCACCCCCCAAACACTCACTCACTCACTCACTCGCAGAGCGAACGCCCGGCTGGCTATTCAATTATGTGGCAAACGAATGCGAATACGAAATTTCTTAATCCGATTTGTGTGATACAATGCCGAGCCCCGGACGGCCAGATCTTTTGCTGGGGAACCGGGCGGACGAGAGGTTGTCAAAACAGTGACAAGCAAATGAATAAATTCACGGGCGCACACCTCCCATTGATATTATAATCGCCAGCAGCGGAACAGGACCGCAATTGCCTCCTGTCCAGGTCTGAGCCAAGTTGCGTATAATTGAAACAGAAATCCATGCATGGCCGATGCCAGGCTCAATGCGGATTGACTGCGACTGCGACTGCCGCTGACAGCGACAGCAACAGCGGTGCACAAAGAGTGAGAACAGCCAACGGATCCCCCCGGAAAATCCCCTCATATCTATTACCATAGACAAAGACACTCAGTCTCTCGTGCATTTGAGTCTGAAAAAATTGCACAAGCAAAATCATTTTCACCTTTCATCCGTGGACTTCTTTTTGGTGCTTTCACGCTGAATTTCTTTTGGGCTGCCGCTGCATTTGCTCGCTAAATAAATTATTAAAAATTTTGCTTTTACATTTGTTTGAAGCTTTTGCTTAAGTACTTTGCAATTAGTGGCACAAATCCTATTTGCCACCCACACACAGACACACATGCACACGAGTACATACATACATGCATATGTATATGCAAGCTCTCGCGTGTGTGTATCTGTGAATAAGTTGGTGTGCGTTAATTTCTGTAAATGTAAGTCGCTAAATTATTCAGCTGCAGACATGAGAGACATGTGAGCAAATGCTGCTGCTGCTGCTGCTGCTGCACGCCATTCAAACAGCACGGCGGCGAGCAGGAGAGTGGCACGGCACGGTGGGTTCAAAGTGGGAGCTGCTTGTTTAATTTGCATAAAATTAAATGCTAATTTTAGTTGCACACACATTTCGGCCCCCTGAAGGGACAGGTGAGTGTGAATAGGCATTATCTTGAGCATTGCAGCATCTCAATGAAATCGCAAAATATTGTTTGGATATACCAAAAGGTATAAGCTTAATAATAAGCTTAAATTATCTAGCTCCTAATTCCCATAAATTCTCTCTGGTATACATTTTAAAAACGAAGTTTATGCAGGTATTTTTCCTTTGGGTTTTGACTGATTTTCATTGATTTTGCTTGCGTATATTTCATATATATAATATATAATATAATAATAATAATATATAATATTAAATATATATAATATAATATTATATATATAATATAATATATATATTTAATTATTGTATCCCTAAGCATTTGTAAATAAAAACCCAAATTCTAGTAAGTCTATGGTGAACTCATATAACACGACTCTTGTCTGATTATTCACGGCTAAGTTATTTCGATCGATAGAGACTACTTTGTCCTTCGTTTGGGGCCTTTCAGCGGCATTTTCTCAGACATTTTCCCATAGAGTCTTTAGTCACACTTTCACACATGTGTCTGTTTGTGGTTTGATCCGCTTCTCCGGCTACTCCAGTTCAGACTCCAGGTGGCAGTTCCAGTGAGTCACTTCATCCGGACAGCAGCCATCTACATACATATGAACAATGTTGGGTGTAATCTACACCCGAATCCCATGGCTGCGTGTCTAAGTTACACCCAATTTCGACTCGTATTACAAATTAAAATGTGCCGCAACCCACACAGACGGACAGGCAGAAGGACAGACCCATTTCCACGGACGTGGAGAGGGGAGAGTGCGGCATGACAGCGTTTTAAACTGATTAGCTGACACTAGGAGCTGGCTGCGCTGCGGCTGCGGCTGGGGTTGGGGTAGGGGGCTGAGACTGCCACGGGTCAATGAGATGCTAAGCGTATGACAGGCATTGAAAGGGTGTCGTCGGAGCAACCTTCAAAAAGATTGTTTAATTTTTAAGCAGCAGTTTGCCCTCCCAGCATCTCCCAGGAAAAAACACTCTCGAATGGAAGGAGTCGACGTTCGGTCGGCAAGGATTTACCGGAATTTGTTAGATGTTGCTTTGTGGCTTTGACAGTTTTTTTTTCGGGGGATTGATGGATTTGCCTTTGCTTCTGCCGCACTCACAGTTCAGTGAGCATATCCTGGCGGGCCGGGTCGCGCCGGGGCATTGATTTATTTGCCTCGAATTCCCAATTTAGTTTTTTAAAGTTTCTGCTAAACGCCCAAAACTGTCAACGGTGGCAAGCGTTTGGGAATGGGAATGAGACTGAGACTGAGGCCGGGGAACCTCAGCCTAGAGTTTATGATTAATCGCTGGTAATTAGATTGATTAATTGCCTTATTAGAGGCGTCGCTTCGGCTTTAGGCGTGAGAATCGAATCTCCGGCTGCTGCTATGGATCACAATGCTCCGCCATGTGGCAGGGGAGGGAGTAAAGGGAGCGTGCTATGATTTGTTGTAAAGAATACTTTAAAATAGAACAGCTCCGTTCCGTTCGATCGCCCCTCTTTAATTACCAGAAAAACCATTTGGCGCAAATGTTTTTCTTTGTTTTCGCTTGTCCGTCTGGTAAATAAGAGAGTAAACTGCTTCAGCTTCAGCTCCTGCTCCTGCTTCTGCTCCTGATGCTCTTACTCCTGGTCAAGCAATAATATTTCATTACATGCTGCGCTTTTGCTTGTGTTAGCCCGCTCCTCGCTCCTTCTTTTTTTTTGGTTCTCTGGTTCTTTTGGTTTGTGTTGCCGTTTCAACCATTTCGACGGGGCACTTAAAATTAAGCGTGCCCAAATCCCCAAAGACCACAAGACCAACATAAACAATCTAACCGAATGAATGCAGCACAGCAGCTCGGCCCGTCGTCCTTCCCCAAGGAATACGCCAGGAGCGGGCTGTTGGCTGTTGGCTGTCGGGCCACCGCAATCATAAAAATAATAACCACATTATTGTGTTTAGTAATGAAAAATATCATTTTCGGCATAACTTTTGGCTTTTGTTTGTGCAGTCCACCCCACACACATCGGTACAGCATTTCAGCCATCCTCCAAGGGACGCCCGCATTTTGGTTGGTTGGGATCACAAAATCATCACAGCCAACCCTTAAAATTTCGCCTAAGCATATTTTCTAAATTATCGCCGGCTGTGGGGGAGTCTCGGAATCCGAATCGGAATCGAGTGCCTTTTCCTTAATTTGTGGGTGCACACCCCACACCCCAGACCCCACACCACTCCCCCTCATTTGTCGCCCCTGGCAGCAGAGCAGCCATCTAAAAGGGGTGCGTCTTGAGTACCTGCTGGCTGGCTGGCTGGCATCCACATACACATCCACCCTCCCGGGTAGGACTTTGTTGTTTTTATTGGCATGTTGACTCTTGAAATTAGTTTTTAATATGCGCAAATACTTTTGCATATTCGTCCTTGCAAGTGCCTGCCACCCATTCCCAGCCATCCAGCATCCAGCAGGCTCAATACGGCCATATGCCCTTATCAGATACGTACACACGTTCATATCGTTCATACACGTATAAAAAGTGTAAATATTTGTTAACAACCAAAATGCAATCCACCAAATTGTTTACCCATTCTCCCCCCCTAAGGCAGGGTGAGGGAAAAAATCGCTGCATATTGACATCAATTAAAGTGCATCAAGTCGACACTCAAACAAACAATGTAATTCACAACAAATGTGTTTGAAAATAGCACGACTCCGTCTCCGACTCCGCATTCGAGTTCGTATCCGGCAAACGGTAACAGGAACTATTCATTAGCTAACCCCCCAGGGGCAGGCAAGCGGCAAGCGGCATACACAACAAAAAAAGGTTCAACAAGGACCAAGCCACAGCATCCCAGTCGGGGGTATAGCTACCCTTGTTTCAAAAAACTTAATGTGGCCAGATTCGGCAGCAGGAGCAGCAGCTAGAGCTAGAGCCAGAGGCGACGGCGGCCACATTTGAGTGCGTTGATTTGCGCCTTGAGCTGTTTTCCAGGGCGGGACGTAGAGGTCAACGGGAATAGTTCTATAATGAACAAAACACATTGTAAATTGTCCTGCTGGCATGGTAAATGGGTACAAGTGTGCAGGGACCCCACAAAATAGAGAAATACACTCGGAGAATTTTTTTAGCTGGAAGAGAAATTATATGATGGCAAGAGAAAATATTTAAGTATAATAAGGTGAAAAGAAAATGCGTTTTATAAGGCTTTAGTAATATTAAAAAATAGAGAAACTCGAATTTAGTAAAAATGTTATGGCTATAGCTCGGATAGATGCAAATTACTGCCTTCTAAAAAGTAGACTCTACGACTTTAATTCATTTGAATTTGTGCAACTCAGCGCCCTTCTGGCACTCACTTGGGCATGCCAACAAAATGGGGAACTCCAACTCAATTTCGTGTGGCGCATTCTGCTAAGTGTAGCTGGGTCGGGGTCGTTCGATGTAAAAGGCAAATTAGCAAAAACCAGCCCGGCAATTTAAAATAAAATGTTCTCGTGCAACACCAAGGCAGAGCGACGAGACAATTCTCAACTGCCTTTTACTCTATTAGAAACTTGTCCCCAGGCGATTCAATTTAACTACCCAAGGCAGAAAGACACTGAAGGCACTGCAGGCCTGGGCACGCACAAATCACTGCCACTGTCGACCCACCACCAGGGGCAGGGCAGGGGGGCAGGGCAGGCGATACAATACACATGCAAAACTGCTGCCACAGCTAATTTAATAATTTATCA